ATACATACATACATACATACATACATACATGTATAAAAGTTAACCGTTATTCACTGCTTCACAATAATAGTTAAATTATATACAACTTAACTGTTACTGGGAAGCAATGAAATTGAAATCCATATATATATACAGTTAACTAATATATATATAAGTTAGTTGTGTATATATATTAGTTAACTGTTATATATAACTAATGGCCAATATATATGTTAACTGTTATATATAGATATTAGTGTGTGTGTGTGTGTGTGTGGTAATAAAATAGATTATTTAATTTTCAGTAGGTTAGATACTTATGCTAATGAATACACATTAATTATTAATATATAATAGATATTGTAATGTATATATTAGCGAAAGTATTTAACCTACTGAAAATTAAATTCTCTCTTTTTATCATTATAATAAATGAATGCTTGAAATATTTGATCATCATTTGACAACACTTGATTGGTCAAATGCTAAGTATTTTTTGACCAGTGAAACTCTCAACCCTGCTGTGGGTAGGCTGCTAAGGCCCAGATTTTTTAATGCGGTTAGATAATACCTCATCACTATGCAGCCTGTCACCAAGTAAATTTTTTCAGCTGAGTTAGTTTGTTTTCAGTTGGGCATCAGCAGTACTTAAGACTGCTCCAAAAATGTCAACCGATGGAATAACACAGATACACAGGTTAGGCAGTGTCTGAGCTGCAACTCTGAGAGTATCAGTGATACCAACATGACAAAATCAATACCTTAAGGTTTACCTGAACTGTGGCAGTAGCAAGGCTCATGTGGAGGGACACAAGTAAACCCACCTGAGCCCATGCTGTATTGCACTCAAGTATGTCAATGAGGCCACTCCAAACTCACCCCTGACAACTGCTGTCAGGAATACCAAAGCTCAAGAGCAGATTCAGAGGGATGAGTCTGGTGTAGCCTCACTGGCATACAACCAAGTTTGGAGCATGTCCATGAGCACAGACTGCAGGACATGCTTAGACCCCTCTGTCCCAGGACCAAAGCCAACCCTAGGGATGTGCGAGGCCCGGGGTATATCAGCCTGTGTGGGACCTGTGTGGAGGGCAGGGGGTGGCGAGAGGGCGGAGCAGTGGGGGTGGCAAGTGGGTGGAAGGGGAGCAGGTGCTGAGTGGCCTGAGTGTGAAGCCAGCGGCACATGGCAGCAGTGCAGAGGGGTGGCGCCCTCAGCATGTGCCAATGACGCTGTCTGCAGGACCTGTACGGCACTGTCCGCAGGGTCCCCCAAAGTGTGGGACCCAGGGTGGTTGCCCTGATTCGTGCCACCCAAGGGGTGGCTCTGGCCAGGACTCACTGCTGCCGCAAAGTAGGTAAGCCCTTAGTGACTTTTGAAAAGCAGGCATAGTTATTACAATTCTGAATCTTTCAATGCCTAAAATCTGGGCCTAACTACTTGAAATAATGCCAAAGTACCACTGGATGACTATCGGCTTTATGTAAATGATATATGGAGTTCATCTACTTCAGGACTTAGTAGTGGTTAGGGGAGACTTTATTTCTTATTCTAGCCTTTATGACCCAAGTACCATCCTGGGCAACATCAGGTATATGATGCATCACTTACTTGCAAGAAGTTGCACTTGCATTATAGAAAGGTGTAATGTCTCTGAGTATGGGCAAATATTGTCAGTTATAAGTTCAGTATCTACTACTGCATTTAAGATGGTTCTCCTGAGCCTAGAAACTTTTTAGACATTTTAATACAGGCAGCATGGAAAAGTAACTAGCCACCATTAATATTTTGAAGTTCTGACAATTACCATCCCCCACCCCACACACACACTAGAGGCCTGATTACACAAAAGCAGATTACGTACTTACCTTACTGCAAATTGACAAGAACTTTGGCATTTAAGTAAAAAGAACAACATAAATAGTTGATTTGAATACATGGAACTTAACGTCAGGTCACTTTAGTGCTCAAAAAGGGCGCCGGTATATTAACAACATGTCATATTTATTCAAAGAACAAGCACTACAAGGGTAGAAGATCCAATACTCCACTATTCAAATACTTCCAATATTGTCTACTGAAGTACTTAAGTGGTGTGTTTGGGTGCCAAAGATGTTCTGGTGAAATTATTTCTAGAAGTTCAGTGAACTCAACAGGAAGTTCAATAAGTCTGTTCACCATGATCAGTTATATGACCTAGACTGAGACTATATTCACATTGAAAGACATCATCCAGATACTACAGACAAATCACTATAGAGCTTCATTTGAATGTGTGGCCTAGAGGTGAAATGAGCTATGTACATTAGCAGCCTTTTGGATAAACATAATCCTTAGGATGGCTTAAATGTGGTTTAAACCTGAAGTGGACACACAAGCACACCTGTTAAACAGGTTTAAAGCCATCTGGGATGGTTCAAAAATGAGCCTGGAAAAACAATACTATTTTGAACCAGTTCAGTCCTTTGGAGTGGACACCAAGAGTTCCACAACCCTGGTTTACTCAGTCCACCAAGCACTCCATGCTGTATCAACTCCTCTCCTCCCTGCACTTGGCAGCTCTGGTACACAACCAGACCTCTACTGCAGTGTTTCCCAACCTTTTCCAGCCCAAGGCACACTTACATTAATAAAAAAATTCTGTGACACCTGTTAAGCCATTCCCCATCCTTATACCTATTGTAGCTCACTGCCACGGCAAAGTTCTGCGTCACGCCTGTTCATTTCTGATGGCATGCTTTTGTGCCACAGCACACTGGTTGGGAAACACTGCTATACTGTCTCTTCTTTCCCCCTTTGCTGGGAGTTTTTAATCAATGAGCTCCCTTGCAATGCTTTGTCAATAAAAGCTGTTTCTAACAGCCAGCTGCATCCTCACTCTATTCGACTGCAACCCCTCATCAACCCCACACAGACCCTGGGAGCCAAAAAGAGTAGGTCTTTTTCTCCCCAATCAGGCAAGTGAACTGCAGACTTTGGTCATCTGCAGGCTACTGAAGTTTACTGAATTCACATTTTGGAGAGAAGGAGAAGCAAAAAAGTGAAAAAGTATGGGTGCAAGCACTCCCCGCCTCCCTCTCACTCCCCCACCCCGACTTATTCTCTGAATGGCATAACACGTTGGGTCCTCACTCCCACTCCCAGGTGTTGGATTCACAACACTTCACACAATTGCAAATCAGCTCTCAGTCAGTTAAGGCCAGTTCAAGTTTTATGTGCGTCTGAACCCTGTTCTGCAACAATTGTTAACTGGCTTCCAATAGGTGCCATTTTGAACAGTTTATTTGTTATGCATGTCCACACCCTTAGTGGTCTACCACAGCTTCAGTTCAGGTGCTCAAAGCTGAGCATGTCAAATATACTTTAGTTCTCAGTGCAGATAAATTGACTCAAAGGCTTGTTGAACAATTCCATTTTATATTGTCTCACAACAATATTTAAGCAAAATAAAATACAAAAAAAACTAAACAAAACTCTAGACCTTTATTAGTAAAATATATCAACTAAAACTGCTATATTAAAATAAAAAACTACTGTCTGTCTATGAATTAATTGAGTTATATGAAATCTAGGATCTTTCTAAGTGTAGTGCAAAAAAGAATGAATAATAATAATATGTGTCCTAAATTATGCGAAACATTCTACAAATTCTGTAAAAAGGTGCCAGTTAGATATACAGAGAAAGCCTAAGAAGAAAAGAAGACAGACAGGCATCATGCACTACAGCATTATTTTACTTACCTTGATTTGGTGTCAATCTTTTTGGGGTGGAGAATTTTATTTACCAGAACTGGAAATTGGACTAATTATATAAAATTTAGACTTTCTGTGGAAAATAATTTAGAACTAAATTTTGGTCAGTTGTTTATAATCTTGACATGGAATACAAAATTCAAATAATTCACAAGGATCTACACTGGTTGAAGGTAAATAAAATGACGAGATGATTATATACCTACACATGTGCCCAATGCATGCTCTGATGTGTGCTAATTAGCACACATCAAAGCAGACTCGATTAATCGAGTCTGCTGGTACATGCTAATTAGCACGCCTCAGTACCTCGTGCATTCAGCATCCCACAATTCAAAATGGTGGCAGGGACACTTTAACTAAAGCTCATCGAACAAGCTTTAGTTAAAGCACCCCCATCACCATTTTGAATCGTGGGATGCTGAATACATAAGATGTTGTGGGCCCTTTCATTAAAGCATCCCATCCTCCTGTCCCTCATGTAAAGATGCCCATAGTGACTGAGATAAGCTGTACATTTAAATTTTGACTCTGAAATTAGATTATGTTTTGATTTGTTAAGATAAGCTGTACATTTAAATTTTGACTCTGATAACAAATCAAAACATAATCTAATTTCACTTTTTTCAACTGGTGTCACAGTTAATCTAAAGGGTAATAAGTTAATCTTTCCAAATTTACAATAATGTAAAATATATTTTAAAACTTAAATAGCCAGCCCTCCAACTAGGATCACAAAACTAAACTATGTTTTTAAAATAAGTAATTGAGTATGTTTTCTCCTTATCTTATTAGACTGCAATTATGTACTAGACAATTCAGAAATGGATCTTTATTTTGGTAACAAAGTGACCCTGTGACTAGGAACTCTAATAATAGATTTCCAGTAGAGATTTCAATTTTGCATACCATGCTTTTCCATCAGTTGTTGATGTGTGTGTGTGTTTGCGTGTGTGTGAAAAATGTTATTTGTGAATATGGCTCTAGTTTAATTTCTAAAATCAAAAAGTTTTAAAAAATGCAAAAACATGAAAATGGAGTCTTTGATACAGGAGTATGAGAAAATGGATGCTATTTCTGAGGCAAACTAACAGAGACAGCTAAGTTCAATAGGAAAATTTTGTTCAATGAGCGTGATGTGGATGATGTAACCAATACATTTTCTAAATTTTATTTCCAGTGTTCCGGTCTATAAAAATACCCACTTTTGGCCAATTCAGTTAGCAGCAACCTAACTGATTTGTTAGTATGCACACTTGAACAGACTTACATCAGTTATAGTGTTCAGAGCAGTATCTGCACCAATGCTGAAATCTGAACCCGGTACATTGTTGGATACAGTTGCAGGAACCATAACCATTGGAACACAGAACTCGTCATATTTCTCACGGGCAGCTGACAGTTCCAAAAGTCCCAGGTAGGCCTGTTGGGCACAGGCACGGTGTGAACAATTAGGAGGGATAAAAAGAGGGACAAGGTTGGGGCCACAGGAAGAGCCATTTTTACCACAGCACATCACAGACTGAAGTATTAAGGAACCACTAAAATCTAACATATAAATACATTACGAAAGATATACATTAAAAAAAGCAAAGTTTACATACATCTTTGGTTTGCAATGTAGTTATATACTTTAAAAGTTCCCAAATACTCTATATCATAGAATAATATTACTATACAGATTAAATTCTCATACTTCTTAATATTAATATAAATAATAGTATTTTTTAATTCAAAATCTCAGAAATCATCTAGCAGTTTTGAATCTAACTTACCAAAATATTTACACACATGCATACATTTATTTAGATTCAAGAAATCACAAGAAATTGCTTAAATTTAATCACAGGCTTAAAAGCTTTCCTGAATCTAGGATTGTATAGAGGGAAAATCCTTTGAAGAAGAGAGTGAAATCCATTTGACACATACAGGTGTTACATTTCTCCCAGGAGGATGATTCTCCTGGTAGAACAGGAGATAAGCGTACACATTCTCTTAATCTCTCCTGGGGGAATAATGCCCTTCCAGAAGAAGACTTTTCCGGAGTCAACGTGGTAGATCTCCCATGTGAGAGTATTTCTGGTGCAAGAATAAATATCTGTATGCTTCTCTCCAAATCTAATCCAGGAGGAAGGGAGTGAAGAAGTGGGGCAATGTTCCCCACACTTCCACAAATCAGTACTGGGAACAGGTGGGGGACATTGCCCTACTGCTTTAGTCACATCCTGGAACAGTCTAAGAATGGACTGGAGCAGTGGGGCAAAGTCCCCTACCATTCCCTTGATAGGGGTCTGTAGTCTGAGAGTGGGAGGGTAGGGGAGGAAGCTTTGCTCAGTCCACTTGGCTCCCAGGCACCAAGAACTGAGCAGAGGAGCAGCTCTTGCTTGCTCCACGCCTGCTCCTTAGACCATGAGCAGGTAGGGGGCTTTGCTGTGCTGCTTGAGTACCCTCCTAGATATGCCTATACAAAGGCAGTAGAGTGCCCATTCCTTAAGCCTGGGTTTCCCTTGCCTGGGGACATGTGCGGTTCTGCTCCACTACCTGCTAGGGACCAGAAGAAATGAAGCAGACACTTCTCCCCACACCATCCCCAGACTGGGGGCACCCTAACCTGGTGAAGGTGTGGAGAGCAGGGATGAGGGGACAATTGCAAACTGAATGTCTGTATGCTCCCTCTCCCCAAAAGATTTCAACTGATAAAAATGAACGCCTATTTGTGGCCACTGTCTCTTAGAATAAAAGTATGTCTAGGTTATTCACACTGAAGTTACAATATATTGAAGTGTACTGTGTATATGAGTTAGCGTGACTTAAAAACACCGCAAGTGTGGTTCTTACTATATTTTTGGATAGAGTGATATTCAAAAGCGCCTATTGGAAAAATCTCCCTTATCCTGCTACCTAATCTTTGACTATGGAAAAATGCATCCTGTTATGCACTTGGAACTCTAGAATAAAGTAGACAAACTGATAATTCTAAAACTTCTAATCCCCAAAAGCCCTTATATCAGATACATGTCAAAATTCACTATAAAAAAGTTAGTTATGTGAAAAAGAAAAGTTTGATGGTTAAAAGATCCTTTGTATATGCAAGACACCATCCCTACAGGATACATTAACATATCAACCATGCAATGTACCTCAAATCCACCAATAACCATAAGGGCATTGATATTATAAGTGCGCATCTGGTCAGCAATCTTCTCCAAATACTTTGCAGGAAGGGTTCTAAAAATAATTAAAACAAGGGAAGAGGTCAAAAGTCTATAGATTTTGCTAACAACCAACCAGCCTACCAAACAAATGGGTAAAGTGTCAGCAGGCAATGAAACATTCTGCATTTTATTCACTCTCTAAGGAATCATATCTGTGATTCTATAAAGTTAACTGATTACATAATATAATAATAAAAAGTAGGGGCACCCTTTTTTTGGAAATTCACCCCCCATATTTATATAAAGCCAGCCTTTAAACATGTTTTGTGCTATGTTCTGTTAAATCTCAAGTAACATATTATTCTTGCTTGCTTTCCTCTCACTATCCTCAATGGTAACATGATGGTGGAGACAAATAGAGTAATCAGCAAAGTGATACCTCACTTCAAATGCTGTGATAAATACACTGAAGAAGCATCTTGAGCTATAAAAACCTGAGATTCTGCAGGCTTCTCTGTACAGGCACAGGGGGCACCTATACACGTGCTTGACACCTGCTCCAACGTGTGCTAATCAGCACATCAGGGCAGATTCGATTAATCTAATTAGCACACTTCAACAGCCTTGGTGTCATGTGTATTCAGCATCCGCATGCTTCAAAATGGTGGTGGGGGCACTTTAACTAAAGCTTGTTGAATAAGCTATAGTTAAAGCACCCCCATTGCCATTTTTAAGAGCAGGACACTGAATACGTGAGATGCTGGGGGGAATTTAATTAGAATGGCTCTTGAGAGCCACTCTAATTAAAATGCTTACCCCCTCACCCCAGAGCACGTGTAAAGATGCCCAGGAAGACCTTATGAAGGACCCAACACAGGGATCCATACATATTGTACACTATAGTGTAAGTCTCTAAGTTTCTTCTACAGAGATGCTACTAGTAAATACCAGTAATAATACTCTCAAGTCTCCTAAAACAATGATATGCTAAAAGGGACTATTTAGTAAGGGTGTATCAGTATCACAAAATACTGATCTGAATAATCTTGAATGTTAAAAAAAGAAAGATAGTTATAGCCATGTAGTCTTAAGTCAGTCAGAAGGTAGGGTAGTTATGCACTTTTATAGACTAATTAAATTTTATGTGTAGAGAGAGAGCAGAAGCTTTCATGAACCCAAATGCACTTCATCAGATGCTATGAACAGACACGCAGAAAGCAGATGTACAAGAAATTCTTAAAGCACAAAAAAGAAAGTACATCGATATATGCCTCCACAGTAAAAAGATAGACAGTTTGCTAGTTTGTGACCACTGTTGCTCTACTTGCATAAAACAAACGCCAACACCATTTTTTACATTACCGTTTTGTGCCGAGAATTGATCCCCCCTGGCCAGTCCAGCCTCCAACATCTCCCCAGCTGATTGTCTTTATCTATGAATGAAAGTTAAAGAGGAGATTCTATAAAATAACTTTCCGGTCCCTACATCTTTTCTCAGGCAGCAGCTGTATTTAATATAAATCTTTTTGAATAGATGGGGCATTTATACACATAATTTTGTGTCCCACGATGCGCTGGAGATCTGCCGTTTCCAAGCAGACTCAATTAATTCAGTCTGCTCCACATGCAAGCCAAAGTGAACTATGCTGCGCTGCGTGCAGTTTTATGTGGCATAATGCGCATCAGTGCGCAGAAAATGGTGGTGGTGTGCTTTTGAACTAAAGCACCTCTGATGAGTTTTAGTTCAAAATCACACCACCACCATTTTCTCAGTGCTGATGCTTATTTCACCATTTATACAATTGCAAGTGTTGCAATGCCAGGCACTTGGCAAGAAAACCTAGTCTCATATCAGGAAGCTAAGTTAAGCTCCATTGAAATTCTACCCCTTTCTTTAACCATTTCCCACCCTGAGCTCTACTAAGCTGATTTGTTTTTTCTTCCTCAAGGTCACCATTTCCATATTTTAACCTCAACTTCTGGTTCTGGTCCCTTCTATGTCATCCCATCCCTTAAGCCTAGCTGCAATGAAATTTAAGAGTTCAAAATCAGGTCTCAAGCTTAGGCTTTTACAATCTTCAAGACAAGAAAGCATTTGTCATTCTCTTGCAAAACTCTCTGGTTTATCTAGGAAGTGGAAATTATAAGTGGAAATTTCTCATGGGAGCTCAGGTACACTGATATGTGTCCTCTGAAATGGGGAAAAGGAGATAACTTAAAGAGTTTGCCAGCTTTTTCCTAAAAAGAAGTCTGTCGCAGTTTTAAAAACAAAGCATGTCAGAAGTCTCAGCAACTGTTTGCTGAGACTTCTGACATGCCTGTCAGTGCATGTCAGTGTTAGTGTAGCCTGTTCTATTAAAGAGATGTAGATGATAACAGGGCACAAATGAATTAGTGAAAATGGAAATAAGGCGATTGGAATATTATTTTGTGATTAGGCGCTTGCAAACTTTTAAAAGATGTTTCATAATCCTATGGGTACTCTAATGCATAGTCCGTCAAGCACTCCACATCCTGTACAAATCATGTTAAAGTTGTCCTCTGTGCAGAAGATATGAGTTATTTATGTGGAAAATTTTCTACCCAAAATATTCAAGGACCTAAAGCATTCAGACCTAGTTAATCTATATCAAGGTTAGAATAATCTTAAAAGACTATTTGAATGTGGAATCCTTGATTGCAGATGTTCAATCTATCCGCAAAAGTGTATACATGTAAAATTAGCTGCAGACCCAGTGCATTCTTGGGTCCAACCTAGCAGTGAGGCACAGTAATAGCATCTGCTGTAGGCTTCTATCTGGAAAGTTTTGTTTTGCATTTCTGCTCTGGCCACAGGCATAATCTGAAATAAGTTACTCCAGAGTAAATGCATCATGTGTATACACCACATGTATAACCAAGACAAACAATTCTATTTCAGTTGATTAGGTCTGGCTTTCTATGTGATCAACTATATTAAAAAGCACTTGGAAATAGTTGTCTGTGGCTTCTTACAAAAGTATTTCTACTAGAAATAGGACAACAATATAAAAAAGAAACAGTGCATAACTATATTAACTATTCTTTTTTAATACTAACCTGCCCCTTAGCAAAACCTTCAAATCCGTCATTGATAGCAAACATTTTGTGTCCTTCAGTTATGCCAACTCTCACTGCAGACCTCACAGCAGCATTCATCCCAGCTGCAGGGGCACCTACATTTAAAACTGCCACATTAAAATTACTCTGCAAGAGAAGAGAAGACACACTTAGTGATTAACAGAGATTTAATAGTAAACAGAAATTTAACATCAGAAAGATGTAAAGCAGCTCTCCAAAGAGCTAAAGCTGTTCTAGATTCAAGTGAGTAAAAAGTTTCAATGCATTACTTTCAAATTTAAAAAAAGCTACATGTGGATTATCAGTAAAGACAAAAGCAATCTAACTTTTTCTAATTTTTATTTTTTTATTATTATTATTTTTTTTCACCAGAAGTAACACTTTGACCTGTAGATCACAGAAATTTAACATCAGAAAGATGTAAAGCAGCTCTCCAAAGAGCTAAAGCTGTTCTAGATTCAAGTGAGTAAAAAGTTTCAATGCATTACTTTCAAATTTAAAAAAAGCTACATGTGGATTATCAGTAAAGACAAAAGCAATCTAACTTTTTCTAATTTTTATTTTTTTATTTTATTATTATTATTTTTTTTTTCACCAGAAGTAACACTTTGAACTGTAGATCAAATTATTCAGCTTCTGCTATTTTAGCTCTCTTGCAAGCAAGAAAAATAAGCTTTTTTTTTCCTGAAGATATTATCAGAACAGACAGAGTAAAAACTAGGAAGCAACATGCAGAGGTCTGGCAGAATAATGACCAAGTATATGTTATCAGCTGACTCATGGAACAAAACAGACGTCAGCTTTAAATTGAAATGCCAGCTAATCTTTATAGCTGCAGGCAAGAGAGCAGCAGTTAGAATAACATACAGAATCTTTCACAATGGGATAACGGTTCAGAGATCAGATTTAGACAACTCTATCTACTTTGTGTTTATAATATGTCCTAATGATGGGAATTAACAGCTTTTGTGTAAAGTTTTTTTCCCTCTCTTCCCAAATCATGTGTCAATTCTACAGTAAAGTCAGAATGGTGAATGTGTGGCATCATAGTAATTGCCAAAGAAAAGGATGCAACATTGGATAGTTAATTCATGATTTAACCACAGGTTATAACAGAGGAGGACAGGCTTTTAGTAAAGTAAGATACACATTAATAATGGGAAATAATATTTTATCATTAAAACGCTTTCCCCCCTCCCCACCCATCCCAGATCACATGTAAAGATGGCCAGGAAGACCTTATAATAGATCCAACACAGAGATCAATACACATTGTACACTACAGTTAATGTCTCTACATTTCTTTTACAAGCATGCTACTAGTAAATACCAGTAGTAATTTATGTTTTAGAAATTATGGCCGCATCCAGAGAAGCGCAAATATGTGGTATGTGGCAATGCAGACCCATCTGTAGCTCCACACACCGCACATGCAGTCATTCCCTGAGCACCCTGGGGTCAAAAAAAACCCATGCCAAAAAAAAAATCGGGGAGGCATACATGGCGACAGTGCATACTACCCAACACCAGAGCCTGGTGGGCCCGAGTCACACTCCAGCTGCCAGCCAGGCTCCCAGCTGAAGGAGCTCCCAGCTGCCACAGGCTCCCAGCTGACACAGCTGCAGCTCCCCAAGGCCCCCAGACACCCAGGTAAGGCTGCTGGGGTCAGCACAATTGCTGGCACCAGCCTCCCCTACCCTACCCAGGGTAACCTGATGTGCACCAGAGGACATGTGGCATGGGCATCCCCCAGGGACAAGCAGCAGTGGCATACCTTGTGGGCACTTTAATTAGAACAGCTCTACCTTTGTTGTGTTGTTTTGGTTTTTTGTTTGTTTGTTTGTTTGTTTTGGTGGGGGGGGAAGCTTGACCCTGGGATGCACAGGGAATGCCTGCATGTGAGGTGTATGGCGCTGCAGACCGTTCTGCAGCATCACATACCACATGTCCGTGCTTGTCTGGACATGGCCATAATGTCTCCCCACCTTGTGCCACTGCTACTTGTCCCTGGGGAAAAAAATGTCTGCATTCGTGTGGACGCAGCCTAGGGCTACATTCTGCTTCACTTTTGTGTGCTCAAATACCACTTAACCAGCTGTGGCTGGGTGAGTGAAGTGAAAAACAGGTTCTAGCTGTTAGGGTGAATGGCCTTATTTACATAGCTTATGAGTTTTTGAATAAACTAACTATATTTAGGTAGATTTACAAGACAAGATAGTACATTCTGTTCTTCATGGATGATAACATAAAGAAAGTGCTTTTTTCAAGATTCCCTCTTTAATTATTGTCCAGATGCATTAAGCCAATTCTTAACCAAATTTGAAATTCAGAACACTTTCTTCAATGAGTTACACTGAGTTCATTGTCAGCTCTGTGGATTCTTTCTTAAAAAAACAGCTTTATAACTTGATTTCTAATGTAAATGCTAAAGTGAAAAAGACATGAATAAACATGAATGACTAGCCTGAGTATGAAAATAATATGCATGTTATAATAAAAAATCACCACACACACACTTTTAGAGCTTCTTGCTGCCAGGGCAGAGATGTTCCCGGTCAGGTGTCTACATGAGAGCTACTGTGCAGTTAGTAATTGCAAGTAAATTTGATACTTGCATCTTCAGGTAACAAATTTACTCATGTTTAGCTAGGTTTATTGCAGAGTAAGCATGCACACGTGTAGACACACATGCTTACTATGCAGTAAACTACACTACTTCAGAGTAAAGTGTCTCATGTAGATGCACCCACTCTGTCCTATTTTTCCTGTCATTTAATATGTACCTACTTTTAAAAGAATGTTTCTAGTTTAATTTTTTTTTCCCCTTAAAATTTCTTTTACCGTGTCTCATGATATCTTTCTGAATGTTCCTATATATTTTCTTATTTTTTAAAGATTTCTCAATATTTTCTTTTGGTCATTATTTTTCTTAGCAATAAATCTGTCAGAAGGTTCATTGCTCTACTACCACCATTTTTCAAAACAGGTACAGGGTTTTTTTCAATCCTACAGACTTCATGTTCAAACTTTTCAATAAAATTGCATTGGTTTTAATTTTGGACAAGCTTATAATTTAACTAAACAAAATTTAGTGGAAAAAGGAAAAGACAGGCAAAGAAGGGAAAAAAGCAAAAAAGGAATTAAGAGCACTATTTCCCTGTTGTACAGAAGAAAAAAAAAAGAACAAAAACAATGCTATGGAAAGGTTGTATCAAGATTGTGGAATATTTAAAACAAGAAAGCTTAAGTAGAGAAGAGTACCTTGATCAACTGGAAAAATAATTTGAAAATATTAGATGAAATTTATTTAAAACAAGGGCAAAGTACTGCACACAAGGAGGAACAATCAAATATCCAAATACAACATGGAGAAGAACAAGGAGCTGGGTATAGAGAGGGCCACAAGATGAATATAATACTGCATATTTTGAAAGGGTAATAGTGTTGCAGAAAAAAACCATTATTAACATACTGGCAAATAACACTAACAGAACTGTCAAATGTATGTCACAGGAAGTGATTCGTTTACTTTATTCAGCACTGGTGAGGCTTTACCTGAAATACTGCATTCAGTTTGGGGCACCTTACTTCAACAAAAAAGTGGACAAACTGGAAAGAGGCCAGAGCAGAACAGTAGAGGTAACTGGAGTTCTAGGAAACACGATTTATGAGGAGTCTGAAGGAACCGGGATTATTTAGTTTGGAGAAGAGAAAAGAAAATGGAGGGAGGATTTGATAACAATCTTCAAATACAAAAAGTTTTGTTGTAAACTGAATGACAAGCAATTGTTCTTTGTATGCACAAGAAACAGGAGGAGAAATAATGGGCTTAAATTACTCCAGTGTTAGATATTAGGGAGAACTTTCCAGTTATGAGGAAGATTAAGCACTGGAACAGATTAGCTAAAATAGGAGGTTGTGGCATCTCTGTCGCTGGAAGTTCTTAAATGCAGGTTAGATAAACATCTATCCGAGATGGCTTACACAGGAATTAGTCTGCCTTGAGTAGGGACTCGGACCAGATGACCTTCTGAGGTTCCTTCCAGTCCTATTTTTCTATGATTTTTCACCATTTGTCCAGTTTGAAAAGTGTAAGACATCCAGTCAAGAAGAACAAACAATTAAATTGAACTTAATTGAGGAACCGTGCACCATAAAATACTAATAAAAAGAGAATACTCAAAATATACTGCTAACGAACATCATGCAGGCTCAAATCTGATTGCATAAAATATTTGGCGAACATTTTAAACAAATATTTCCTAAAAATGCAGAACTCAAGATTAGTTTGTGACCAATATCCAAGCAACAGGGGAAAAGGGGGCTCAGTTTGCAGCTAATGTTAGTCACAATGGATGATCAGACCAGATCCCACTTGGTAGAGACAGCTACTGCTCTCTGATTCTACCCAATGAATTTCCGAAGAATTCATTGTCACTGGGAAAGCACAGTGAGATATTTACTGCCCAGCCTCCTCTCCCCTCCTGCTAAGGTTTTCAGGTGTATTTGTGTCTGATTTCCTCCCTGCTTCTTTCCCTGCCATGAAATAGAGAAAGCATACCATCTTTACTTGAATCCAAGATGACTTTGAATTTAATACAACCTTCTCCAATAATTAGATTCTACACATCAAAAATTATAAATTTGTTATAATTTTCTATAGATAGACTATAGTTCCATGTAAAGAATATCATTATTGGAGGGATGTCTTAAGGATCCTGTGTCTTGAGCACCCCTGCTCTAGTATGTAAGAACTAATGCTTCTTATTACTGTTTTTGCTCCAATCCAAAATGAAGTTTTTCCCCCATTTAACCTCATCTTGGATTTGAGTTCAGTTTGGGGCAGCTGCAGCTCCATCTCTGCCTCCAAATCGAGCCCTAATCTGGGAGAGGCTGCTTGATGCAGTGGGGATAAGAGCACAGGGAGACCATGTGATGTGGCAGGAAGCCCCCAGAGCCCTGTCATCTGACCTGCAGAGCTCCCCATGGATCTGAAAATCTAGCAGCAGGGGAGTGGAAGCAGCATTCATTGCCATTCCCCAGCCCCCAGGTTTCCAGACCTGTGAGGAGCCCTGAGGAAGGATATTTTGGCCCTGTGTGCTAAATCAGATGTGCAGAGCTGGAACAATGCAGGGGTCAACCCTGAGCCCTGACCCCACATGGGATCAGGCCTGCAGACATACCCCACACCTGGCCCACAGAGCCAAAAGATTGAAAACCACTTATCTAAAGCAATAGACACAGGAAATATATCCAAATTAGGAGGTTCCTTCAGAAGGAATTTGCTAGGAAGAACGTTATCCAGACTGTTACTAATTTTAAGATAAAAATTAAAGTTCTCTCCTATAAGCCTCTGTCATTCTTTGCAAGTTTAATTTGATTATACCAAGTATTGTACAAGGTAGCTTTCTAGAGAAATGTGATAATTCAAGAGTAAAAACATTGTTTTAAAATGTACTTGTTAAGTTCTTCCAGAGCAAGTCTACTACGCATACTATGAATAAATGCAACAGCTAATTTAATTAATCAAAGTATGTAACTTACCTTTGGAAGCTCTGCATCTTGTTTTCTATGAGACAATAATTTGTAGGTTTTAAGGTTATTTTCAAAACTCCTAAGGAGGAAAGATAATGTTTGCATTAGAAAACATTAGAAAGACAGTATTGAATTATTTTGGAACTAATAAGGATTATGACAATCTCAGTATGCTGAATACACATATTTTTAATGCAATTACAAATTGGTTAATTTGGGACATAATATTTCAACTAAACATCAACACATTATACTGTTCGGCTTTTACAGAATGTTATTTAGAAAGAAGCAAAGGACTTGTATTACTACTCCTAGTGCCATATTTCCTACTATCAGACAAGGTTTCTGATAAAGCACATATAGTTCATAATTCTTTTAAAATAAAAAGTGATCTTTTTAGTAACGGAAGGAGGATCATTTTTCTTTTGCTAATCACCTTTAGCCTTGAATGTATCTGACTGGAAAATCATCGGCGTAGTCAGGCTTTATAAGAACGTAAAAAATGTAATGTTAAACATTATTACATTACATATATTTAGAGTTGCCATACATTTTACTATTACAGTGTATATTTAAGTACACAGACCTAACAAAGATCTTGCACTTAAACAGAGTTTATCCAAATGTGATGTAAATCATTAATACACTTTAAGAGCTCTGATACTAACAATCCCCAAACTGACCAGCTCCATAATAATCAGTTTAACGGTCAGTTTCAATAGCAGCCCTGAAACAGACTGACCAGCTTTGGTCAATTTTGACAGCTATTTTCCATTTGCCATATCTGTGTCATCTTTTTGATGCCATGTTTTTTTTTTTATGACAGCACAAAGGCCAAGCACACAGATGTTCATATGCCTTGTCATGCCACAACTTCCCAAAATGTGTGGCCACAACATAAATGGTATCAATTTGTTCTGCTTTATTGTAGCAGACTATTTTATGACAGGACAGTGCAGGCAGTCTAGCCACCCCAGTCAAGGGACCAAACCTGGGGAATTTCTAGGGCATGCAGGGTCAGGCGTCTAAGGCCCCAGGGGTGCCTGCCTGGGTTCCCATATGCGATTCCCTGGGTCCCCAGTGATGCTCCAGTACAGTCCCAGGGCTGAAGCTGTTTGGTGACCCTAGCCCTGGGACCACACTGGAGTGTCAAACTCACTGACTGGCAGCCTCTGCCCTGGGACTAAACCAAAGTTTATAAGAATCATTGAGGATATACCCAATCAAAGTATTTAATTTCAGAGACTAGTGAAAGACATTTTTAAAGAGTGATCATAACATACTCTCTGGAAAGTTTGTCTGGAGATACTGGCTCATATAAGGAACTACATCAATTAACCAGCAGTCACTCACTCTATCCAAATAGTGACTTCCCAAATTCAGACATTTAAGAACAGAACAGAGATGAAATAATTACAAGTGCAACATTTTTAAAAACTGGAAATATGAAAGGAAACTGAAAATATTAATTTAAATATCTACTTTATTTAAATGTACCTCTATTACTATTTAATATTATAGTCATATTTCATTTGAAAATAAACGTTTAAAATAATGAAAATGATAAAACTCACTACATTACAGAAGGCTAGCAAGTGTTACTGATAGATGAAAGATGTTTTGTCATTAAACACTTTGAAACAATAATCATGTTAATTCTCATATTAACTTTCCCAGATTGCGTTCATATTTGTACTTGTTCTATCTTTTCAAAGATTTAACATTACTCTTAGAGAAGTATACGCAATGGATTCACGCTAGAAAACTATGTAGTCAGTTCCAAAAATCACATAAAAGTAAATATATATTGTAGATAGTTTAATTTGTTAATAGAGAGGTCTCCTTTCTCTCTAGAATATAAAGTTATGCTAGGATTAAATGTCTTAAATAAAACTGTAGCTAATAAGTGGCTTGCTTTCCATATCCTTGACTATGAAACTGTTGATACGAACTCTTCTAGATGACTATCTTAGTGTTAATAGGAAGGAAAAGCAGTTCAGTTTCCACTACAGTAAGTGCACTGGTGTGAATGACTTTGCCATACCTTCCTCGAAGCTGCACAGCCTCCTTAAACCTTGCTTCATCCATTGCCTTCTGTACTTCCTGAGTCTATATAAAATGAAAAAAAATTAAAAGGTCAGTTTAAAAGCAAAGTTAGTTTGTAAACAAATCTGTTCTGATGCAACACCTCAACTTGGAATACTGACAGGACATGCTAATGTTTGATTCATTTTCTCGTCACATGCCAGACATCAGCATTCTGGCAAATGCTAATTACCATTTCTTCAGAGGACAATCATGATTCAGAGACAATGACAAGAGCATCACCAAGGGGCATGGAATAACAACTCATTTATTGTATATTTTATTTTTAAAGTTTAAATTGGAATTACCATTGAATATTTTTGGAGGAAAAAAAACAGATTTAAATGGATGGACGAAGAATGTTGTCAAACAGTTGAGGTGCACTACGGAAAATTCAAGATTTCACTTAAAAACAGCTCTAGTTTCTAAGTTGGGGAGTGGGAGTAAGAAACAAAGCATTGCATTTGTCAGTGGTTACCCCTAAAACAACTCCAGAGTAATTATACTCAAAGACAACATTCCTAGAATTCATTATTCTGAACACATTAAGTGTTCCACTCATCTCTAATGATGTGTTAAAACTGATAACAGACCACTGATTGTTACACATAGTACCCTGTTGTACTTAATGAAAAACTATAATGTGGCACTTCTCCAGGAACTCACCATCTGCACACACTCCATTAAAGGCAGACGTACAGCCTGGTTTCCAGACAGGGACACAACACAAGCAGGGGTATCTGGTGTAGCTTCAAGCAGGGCGAGGACAGCTTCCACACCCATACGGCTTGCCTGCAGATAAAATAAAGAAATAGGATTAAATATTCAGAGATGCACTGACAAGTAAATTAGCTACACTCACAAAAACTGGCAAATACCTAAGACTTCTCTTTACATCCAGATAAAACATGCAGTCCTTAATTTGATGAAAGCTCTTTTATTAAACAGTAAAGCTGCTCTCACCCTGTTTCCCCGCCATAGTCAGGTTTGATAAGAATTTTTATGAAGAGGATTAGATACATTTCAGACAAGGGTTTGGTTTTTTTTAAGCTATCTACCTATGTACCGATATGGTCCCCATTTACAGCAACATCTGTATATGGGTACCTATGTGCCTCGGGATTAAGGGGAGCCAGCCAAACTGGTGGGGACTTACTGGGATTATAACAAGAAGCCCCTTCTTGCCTGCACTCCCCATTTCGTGCATTTCTTTTTCCTTCTGAGTACTGGCAGAGACATAGCACACTCATTACATGGGTGCGGTAAGGCTTGGAGCAAGCCAGAAAGCTGAAATGGCTTTCTGTAGGACAAACCTAAAAACTACATCTACATATCAATTGAGTTAAGTGTCACTAAAGAAAACAAAAGAACTAAAATATCCACTTCAAAGCAAAACCTGTAAGCAACAAGACAAGCCAAGGTGCACTGAAGCATGACTGTAAATATATCTTGGTGAACACATTCCCCCTTTGATTAAGACCTATTTCCCAAAGCAAACTTCCCATATCTGTCTAAAGTTTATGCTAAATCAGTCTACTGCATCTAACCTAACTCACATATTGTCCCCAGTGGCCTTTGATCCTCACTACCTCACACTGCATTTTTATATATTTCTCACAGTGCATTTTTATATTTCACCTGTCTCATCCTTGCCTTGGCATTTTGTATTTTATATTTTATGCTTTAAAACCCTTAAGGAATGTACTCCCTGTAGAATGAAGTTACACCCTGGACCACTGTTAAAAACTGCATTCAAATTGTAATTGTTATGCGATAAAATCTGCTATATTGGGCTGGTCCCTTGAGTGAATGCAAGTGTGAGTCAATAGATAAACGAATGACAAAGCAAGAGCCTCTGGCTGTTAACTGACAATAGCCTAACCAGTGAAATTTACCATCACAAAACTCTACTATACAAGCCATTTTAAGCTAATTAAGCCGCCTGAAAACTGCAAGGACACAGCCATTGAATCAATCAAGTCAAGGGTGGAATCCCCAAACTACAAGATTTGGGTGAAGCCCTCAGTGACTTAAACTAACAGCTTTCATGCACTACTCAAGACCCATGTGAGACAGCAATCTCCAGATTGGGCAGCCAATATGATACTGGGGGATCATAAGTCTTCCAGAAAGGGATAAAAGGCAGTGAAGCGTGACTGTCAATGGCAACCCTCTCATCCAGCACACGACCTACTGAGACAGAAGGACAAGCAGGCGACCCCCTTCTGAAGAAGGCATTGCCCTGGAAGAAGCTGACCATCGACAGCAGACTCCAGCACCCCAGATAGGTATATACCAACATTGGTGTTACACTACTATTGCAGCAATTGTGTGTGTGTGAGTGTGTGTATGTGTGTGCCAATGTGTGTTAAGGTGGCGAGGACCCCTCATAACTCAAAGTTTGCATTTATGATTTTATTGGTAATTTCATATCCCGTACAATAAATTAGAATTCATTATGATCCTGCAAGCTGGTCCTCTGTAGCCAACAGAATGAGTCCGGACAAATGGTGCAACCCTGGCGTGCCAGAGAGCAAGGTCTGGGGAAGTCCGGGGAATCAGGTAGGCACCTGGGGCTGGAGAACATGTGCCTCAGAGAGTCAGCTCTGATTGGCCTGGAGAGAAGACCAGGCAGTTTAAAGGGAGATGCTGAAGAAGGTACAACATTCGGCATCTCCTGGAGCAGGGACCAGGCAGCTGGACCAAGGAAAGGGATCAGCAAAGCTGAGGACCCTCTCCAACCAAAACCTTGTGGAACATTGGGATCCCAAGAAGCCCTGAGTCAGGAGCACCCCAGAGTGCCTGGAGGGTTAAGTAGCAGCAGATGGTGGGATAACAGGGGTCTTCCCTATGAGCCCAGGAGCCAGGGTCAGGGGAGAGAAAATCAGGTCCTGGCTGATGGCCATGAACCAGTAAGAGGAAAGGACAGTACCACTGCAGGTACTGGGGACTGGGATAAACTCAGGCAGCCAAGGCAAAGAAAAAATTTGCCTAGCACGCTGGAGAGGAAAAAAGAGAAACAGCGTGTAAATCGGGACAGGGGTAGCCCTAACAGAACTTTGACTTGTGTGGGGAACAACCGCGATTTTGGGGCTGGACCCGATGACCTGCGACATCCCTTCCAGCCCCTACCAATCTATGAAAATCAAACCTTTTTTTTTCCCAGCTTTATTTGAATTATGGAATCAAGGGACAATATAGGCCAGGAGAAAGATACCTCCCTCCCTTTTGGATTTAGGGTCCCTGGGGGAGAAGACCAACAGTTGGGAGGAAGGAACCCTCTTTCTTTAGTTAGGTCCTCATTATACATAGATCAATCTCCTACACTTGGGGCTTTTAGGAAACTTTAGTTTATAGGGACTGAAATAAGACTGGAAGGGACAGGGAAGCACAGAACAGGACAAGCCTGGATAATCACAGAAATACAGAGTCCTCAGTAGGAAGGAGTGGGGATGAGAACGAAGAAGGAGAGAGAGAGAGAGAGAGAGATAGAAAGAGGACAAAAGGTAGAGTGATCCAACAAGTACAGCCAAGGACAGGACCAACCAGGAGAAACCAAGGCCAAAGAACAAGAGAGTAAATAACACAGTGGAGTTTGGGCAGAGACCCCACAGATATCTCACACTCCAGGCCAGCAGAAAATAGTGAATGACCACCTGAGAAAAAAGGGGCAGGGTGTAGGGGAGGTGGAGCCCAGCGAAAGACTGTGGTTCTGTCAGATGGATCTCTGCACAGAGAACCATCCATCCACCCGAATAGTCTTACAACATCAAGGCATGGCAGATCAGTGTGGAGAACAAACCAGGGGCCAAGGTAATTGTAACACATCAGGGCAGGTAAAGGGCACCCATTTGCTCAGACTATGCATATATGTTGTCTTCAGATCCACACATCACAGTTGTTATTACTTTAGGTATTGCAAGGTAAGTAACAAAGGCAAACCAAGGGCTTGGACACAAGATGAAATTTCACTTGTGTACAAAAAGGAAATCTCTGCAACACATTTACTAGAACCCAGTTTAGAATTATCCTGAGAAAAATGACACTAGTGTAAATTACACCACAGGTATTGTGCACTCGCAGTTATCTCAGGATAACCATTTGATCAGTGCAAACATTGCCTGCTCTTCCAGCACCTTGGCATGAAGCACTGCAAGAATGCTTTTGCTGTTGTGGCTTATTTTAAATTGACAACACCGAGGGCATTTGTTTACATGTTCTATATGTGTAGCGGGGAGGGGTGCTTTAATTAGAGTGGCTTTGAAAGCCACCTCCTGCCTTTTGTACAAGCACCTTGAAAGGAGTTTCCTTCCAAAACCAAGGGGAAGTAGGGAGAAGAAGGAAATTGGGAGACATTACCGAAATTAATTGATGTAGTTAATTAAATTAGGACTGCTGCAGTGTGCTGAAAGAGAGTAGAACTGGAATGGACTGGGAGTTGTAGTGAAGGAGTTTGATCCAGGGAAATCTGGAGTCAGCTGGAAGGTCCAAACCAACCCAGTGGTGACAGAGACATATAGTCAAGGCAATAGGGATTAGAATTAAATCCTCAGAGAATTCAGAGGGCACATAAGCATCAGGTTTGGTTCTTAGTCCCTGGGTACACAGAGGTTAGATTTGGGCAACTAAGTCAGACAACATTAATGTTATTACTACGTTCACCAGGGGGATAAAGACAAAAGGGCATAGGTAAGTAAAGAGCTGGAGACCTGGGTAAAAACTTGGCAAGAGGCACCTATAATGGGAGCTTTAGCAATGTTCCCAGCAAGAGAACAGGACAGTTGGTTAGAGCCCTGAAATGTTTATATAACAATGCGAGAAGTATGGGGAACAAACAGGAAGAACTGGAGGTCCTAGTACAAGCACTTCCATATTGTAAGGCATAGGGGGAATGCCTACAAAATAATTAAAACCCCCCATATTAGATTAATTATTAGAATATCTGCTGGGAGGGAAACACAGCAGTGCACAACCAGTCCAGCAAATTCCTGGAGTGTATTGGGAATAAGCTTTTGATATGGATGGTAGACAGACCAACTAGGAGGGAAGATCTTTTTGCCTTACTGCTCACAAACAGAGACGAATTGTTTGAGTAAATGAAGGTGGAAAGTAACTTGGGTGACAGGGGAGTACAGTGACTATACAGTTCAAGATCCTAAGGGGAGAAAGGAAGGACAGCAGTAGAATAAGGACAATGGACTTCAAAAAAGCAGACTTGAGTCAACTCAGAGAACTGTTGAAAAAGATCCCTTGGGAGGCAAGTCTGAGGGGAAAAGAAGTCAAGGGGCTTTTGTACAGATGCTTGTGCTGCAGTGCTGGGCACTTTTAAAAGTGCCCTGGCACTGGGTACATGAAGTTGTATAAGTGGTGAAATGCGGCAGTGCACTGTTGAACTAAAACACACCAAAGGTGTTTTAGTTCAAAAGCGTACCGCCGCCATTTTCTGCATGCTGACGTGCATTTTGCCACTTATACAACTACATGCAACGCAGCGCAGTGCACAACAGCTCATGTGCAGAGCAGACTCTATTAATCAAGCCTGTTCTGACCTGCCAGATATCTGGTGTGTTGCAAGCCAAAAAGGTATGTGTAAAAATGCCCCAGAAGAATTAGCTGTACTTTAAGGAGGCTCTTTAAGAGCACAGAAGCAAGCTAGATGGAAGAATGGGAAGTGCAATAGGAGACCAGCCCAGCTGGGCAGCAGTCTCTTCAAGGAGCTGAAATTCAAAAAAGAATCCTATAAAAAGGGGAAACTTGATCGTCTTAATAATGAAGAATAAAAAAGAGCACTGTTCCAGCATTCAGGGAGAAAATTAGGAAGGCAAAGGCATAATTTGAGATGCAGCTGGCAAGGGACATAAAAGGTAATAAAAGTCAAAAGTAAGAGAAAGACCACAGAAACTATAACTCTCTTACAGAATATGGAAGGCAATCTAGTTACAGATGATTCAGAGCACGCTGAAGTATTTAAAAACCTTTTTAACTTCAGTCTTTACAAACAAGGGTAGCTATAAGATGATAAGTGATGTTGGCAGAAAAGAT